TGACTGTCTGCTCATTGGTCTCCGCGACAGGTCAATCAATGTCAGGATCAAAATCGTTAATTTGACATTTGTCCCACTATGTTAAGTCGACACGCCGTGAAGTAACCAAAACACAGTTCAAAGTGGCGATGAGCTTTGACTCACTCAAAGTTGCAATTCATTGTGTAGGAAATCCATGTACATAAAGTATGGTAGTCACTTATGGTTTGTCACTTTGGGGCATTTGTCTTTCAATGAGGCGTGGTTACATCGCTATCTTAAATTGTTTGAAAGCAATTTCCATCTGATGTTTTCTGAGAAAATGATGGACTTCCTCATAGATAACATCTATGCAACAATTAGATTGGTATTAAGTGAGCAGATGTTAGATCACATACTAAAAAATGGCTGAGGGATTATCGAAAATGTGGAATTGCTTTTTGAATGGATGTCTGGGAAGGTCAGAAACCCATAATATCTTTTCTTTATCTTTTTCTTTATCGTATGAATTCAAATTTCTGCAAAGATTGACAAAATCTAAGCAAAGCAATTTGGCTCAAACGTTTAACTTCAGCTTCAGGTATACCGATGACCTGACATCAATCAAACAATTGTCAGATAGTCAACTCCCTTGCGCTGATTTACCCATCTGGAATAGAAGAAAGAGACCAGTGAAACCGCCTCATCTGTTTCATACTTAGATCTATGCACGAAGATTCAAAGTGGCTATCAACAAGACTGTATGACAAGAGTGAGAACTCTTTAACTGCCTGTTAGGCCATTGAAAGATCATTATCGATCATGCTACCCAGTCTTTGTTGGGTGAATCGGAAGCATTATTAAAACAATATCTGTTGCTGAAGGAAAACCAGTCGTTCAGAATAACCTGTGTGGGGCATGACTGAAGATAAAGAAGCTTGTATGTCTCAAACCATCAACCTACTGTCAACCTCCCACGAGGCGCATTAAGCAATGCTTCATGTAAGTTTAGCTATCGTCTCATCCACGTCAGTAGACGACAAAGCCCATATATAGATACAGATCTTGTGCTACTCCCACTGAAACTGTTAGAGCAGAATCTTGGTAATTGTTAACGATGAGTTTCAGTATATCAACTGGCATCATGATAGGCATGGACATGAATAATTTGGTTATTTCTGTGAAAGTTTCCTAGTGAATACTCGCCACAGACTGAAGGCTAAATGTTTAACTTAAATATGTAACTTGTCCTAATGGACATAATAAACCAGTCTGAATGATGCCCTGACAACATCCCGTTATGTCATACACTGCTTAATGCCTTAAAAAGCAAATTTCTCAGGGGTATTTATAGTCAGTCCAATTAATCATGAATGTAAATATGAGTATGCCAAAATCATTGACGTATTTAATGTTCCCTAAAGCACCAATGTTACCACACATGGATGGAAGAATCGATGGAATTACCGCATCAGAGAAAAGGACAATATCGTCAGCAAAAAGCAAAAGAAATGTTTCTATTAGACCTGGATATAACTGTATGTCATTTTTAGATTTTGAGGTTAATTTCAAGAACAAGTTCACTTAAGAAATAATTAAACAAGAATGGACTTAATGCACAGCCCTGACGCAATAACAAAGGTCAATCAAACGTACGTGTGAGGTTATTACCATTGGTGCTTTGTCCATTGTGGAATATCCAACTCTAACTCTTGCCTGTTCTTCTTCATACATGTTTCCCATTGCAACTGTCCAAAACGTTAATATGTCATCACGAATCATGGTATCACAGTGTAGATATTCCCCGATAGTTATCAAAGTTCTCCTTATCGCCCTTTTTATGCAGTGACACAATAGTTGTTTTTGACCACTCAGAAGGAAAAAAACCTTTATCATATATATAGTTGAGCCGTACAAGTAAATACTGCACAAGTATATTCCCTGAACATTGAAACATTTTACATATTACATATGTTCCAGCTGCTTTATACATCACTACTTACGAATAATTCCCTATATTTCCTCACTCCTGATAGAGGTATTATCAGTGAAAGACTTAACGCAATTAGTACCAGTATATTATACATTTGTACACTTTCAGTTTTCAATGTATTTCTATCCTCTTCATAAAATGTAGATGTGTCTGGTTCTGAGATACTGAACAGGTCTCAAAAATAATCGTACGAAGTCTGAAGTTAAGAGTTTGTATCCTTAGTAGTACCTGATAAAGCTTGAACTTTGTGCCCAAAAGTTTTGGGATCCTTCATTGAAGCTATCAATTCAGATTCACGTTTGTTCAGGAAAGAACGTTTATACCTGTATACATATATACCTATTCCTTGCAGCAAGTTAGTGCTGGAGAGACTTTGTCAAAATATTTACGAAATAATTTGAGATAATTCTCTGTAGTTTAAAACATCCACATTTAGGGCCACACCAAGTTTTAAAACGTGAAAATGGCCTCAGAGAACCCTTCATACAATCACCTGATCGCAAAAAGATGTGTGTGAATATTAACTCCGTAAGGCTAGTTGCACAGCATCCTCAAATTCTTCAAAGAACGATGCTAACATTTCAATGAATCTTATCCTCATTACAGGAATACTTAGTCCTAGTAATTTGGTCACCTGAACGGACCAATCTTGTAGTCTCTGAGAAATCAATATTCGTAGACACATTAAATGCTATAGGGGGATATTATGATTCACTTCTTGAAATAACTATAAAATAATAATAAATAAGGCGACAAAACCCTTTCCATATGCAGTGGAAGTCTGTGTATAAAGAAAGCAGAGTCGATTGTACGATTCCTACTTTAACATGAGCATGTGCTCATGGATCACTATTAAATAATGATGACACCAGGTGTTCGCAAAAAGGTGATGTCAATTGTTCACCTGACTGAGTAAAAATTTAACGTCGCATCGGGATGTTTCAGCCATATAGCGACTTGTTTACCTTAAAAAACACGGGAACATATGGTACAAGTCAAAATAGGAAATTGCATCTGACATCATTTTGTCACTGATGCGTCAGATTTGGAAATGACCTCCCCATGTCTTCCAAAAACTTTTTTGAAAGCTCTACCGAGGACTTGAATGTTGTAACCTTGATCAAAAACTTCTTGGAAGAGTTGTTTGACGCTCCTTGAAATCTTGGTAGAAAGAGCATACTCGACTCTATCTCAAAAGTTGTGAAATGTAAACACCAAAGGCTGGAGCAGCTGGAATATTGCTCTACGTGAAGGGAAAATTAACTATTGGAAAATATAAGTCATACAGTCTTACGAAGAGACTCCTTTATTTCTAGTTCAGGTGGGTAAATCATTGGAAGGGATTGCCTATTTGATTGTTATTGAACAATATCATATCATCGATATACCTGAAGCTTAAGTTAAACTTCTTTGCCAAATTACCTTGCTTGACCATGATCAGAATTTCCGATTCATATGAATAAAGAAAAGATCAGCAAGAAGGGGAGCACAGTTGATGCGTATGGGGATGCCTGCTTCTTGCATCAATATCTTACCCCCAAACTTTACGTATCAATGACGAAGTCCAGCATTTCATATATTGTTTTTTCAGTAAACTTCAGATGGCATTTGCTTTCGGGTTTTTTTACAAATTGTCCTGAACCTCTGAATATAGAAGGACTTTTTCAAATAACCAACATGATCCAGTGACATAATCAATTTCACTGCACCCATTATGTCCAACTGCCTTCCTTTTGTCAGTGTCACATCGACAATATCAATTCCGTATTTTCCAAATTTGTTAGTTTGCTGGTCACAGTAAAACATATGTTTGTCAAAACCATCTAAAACTAGTTCCGTTATTAATCATCATGATCTATTAAATGTCTGAAATTATCATCAGGGTAATGATCAAGTCGTCCAGTTCTAGCATTTAAATCACCCCAAAGAATAGTTTCAACATGTGGCAAGTTAGCTGTAAAATCACTATAAGAATTCAAGATGAGGTTAGTTAATTTTTCAAACGCTTCTGATCGAACATATGTTAATAGATAATACATGTTTTTCTCATGAGAAAATAGTATTGTCAAACAGAGTGAAAATATCATTTTCAAAGTAACTGACACATTTGATATATTATAAGATGTTATAAACAATATTACACATCCCCAGGCGTGTCCAACTGCTTGATGCTGGGTAAATGAAAGAATTTATATCCTGGAAGGTAAACACTAGTGTTATCTTTTTCATGTTTTGATAATTGGGTGATGTCGAAATCGCTGATGAAGTTAATAACATCATCAAGTTTCATTATTAGTTGCAAACCTGGAATATTCCAAAGTTGACACATTGTTGAGAGGATTACCAGTGGTGAAGTAAGACGGGCCCGGTTCTATCCCTGTGGGTGGGCATATCTCTGTCGTGTTCTTCTCAAGAGCTTTCGTGTGTTTCCATATCGTAAACGTTATATGTGAGAAATAAAAAAATATATTATGTTCTATACGAAACAGAACACAATCGTCTAAAAATCTGTATATCATAAATATCCAAAGCGGTTACGATGATAAACAGTGTGTTGGGAAGGTTACTCAGGAAAATCGGTAAACTGGTTAATTAGTTAATCGCGCAGACGTCTGTATGAATATATATAGACGGTCAACACAGACACTTGACTGATGTAGGTTGTAAATCAAAGGTTGGTCGTCATTTGGTGCTGATAGTGTGAGTCATCGACAAGGCAGCAGAAATAGATTACCATATCAGAGATCATATGTCTACTTATGTACAGTGTACAGTGTGTCTAGTATCGCACATACAGAAAGCCATGTTAAAACTGGCGAACCAAGTATCCATTTGCACAACATCTTGTAATCTTGACAAAATAAATGTAGAGTGTCTAGATCACTTTATCTGGTAAACTATTTCAAATGTTAGTTCATCATGGTCAAATTTAAGAAAATATGCCATGTCTCTTAGCAATTAACTCACTAACTATTGATGTCGTGACAATAATTAAATTGATATTATGTGAGCAAAGTTGCGATCACATATTCAAAATGGCTGAGGAGATATGGAACAGGTGAATGAAGATTTGAATGTGAATGTCAGAACGTCATTATACTACAAATTAAACCATATACCAGCACAGAAGTGTGAAAGTCCCCACGACTTGCAGACAAGTCCACACCATATACCAGCACCGAAGTGTGAAAGTCCCCACCACTTGCAGACAAGTTCACACCATATACCAGCACAGAAGTGTGAAAGTCCCCACCACTTGAAGACAAGTCCACACCATATACCAACACAGAAGTGTGAAAGTCCCCACCACTTGAAGACAAGTTCACACCATATACAAGCACAGAAGTGTGAAAGTCCCCACCACTTGAAGACAAGTTCACACCATATACAAGCACAGAAGTGTGAAAGTCCCCACTACTTGCAGACAAGCCCACACCATATACCAGCACAGAAGTGTGAAAGTCCCCACAACTTGCAGACAAGTCCACACCATATACCAGCACAGAAGTGTGAAAGTCCCCACTACTTGCAGACAAGTACACACCATATACCAGCACAGAAGTGTGAAAGTCCCCACGACTTGCAGACAAGTCCACACCATATACCAGCACAGAAGTGTGAAAGTCCCCACCACTTGCAGACAAGTTCACACCATATACCAGCACAGAAGTGTGAAAGTCCCCACGACTTGCAGACAAGCCCACATCATATACCAGCACAGAAGTGTGAAAGTCCCCACCACTTGAAGACAAGTTCACACCATATACCAACACAGAAGTGTGAAAGTCCCCACCACTTGAAGACAAGTTCACACCATATACAAGCACAGAAGTGTGAAAGTCCCCACTACTTGCAGACAAGCCCACACCATATACCAGCACAGAAGTGTGAAAGTCCCCACAACTTGCAGACAAGTCCACACCATATACAAGCACAGAAGTGTGAAAGTCCCCACTACTTGCAGACAAGCCCACACCATATACCAGCACAGAAGTGTGAAAGTCCCCACGACTTGCAGACAAGTCCACACCATATACCAGCACAGAAGTGTGAAAGTCCCCACCACTTGCAGACAAGTTCACACCATATACATGTACAAGCACAGAAGTGTGAAAGTCCCCACCAATTGAAGACAAGTCCACACCATATACCAACACAGAAGTGTGAAAGTCTCCACCACTTGAAGACAAGTTCACACCATATACCAGCACAGAAGTGTGAAAGTCCCCACCACTTGAAGACAAGTTCACACCATATACCAGCACAGAAGTGTGAAAGTCCCCACGACTTGCAGACAAGTCCACACCATATACCAGCACAGAAGTGTAAAAGTCCCCACGACTTGCAGACAAGTCCACACCATATACCAGCACAGAAGTGTGAAAGTCCCCACCACTTGAAGACAAGTTCACACCATATACCAGCACAGAAGTGTGAAAGTCCCCACCACTTGCAGACAAGTCCACTCCATATACCAACCCAGAAGTGTGAAAGTCCCCACGACTTGCAGACAAGTTCACACCATATACCAGCACAGAAGTGTGAAAGTCCCCACTACTTGAAGACAAGTCCACACCATATACCAGAACAGAAGTGTGAAAGTCCCCACAACTTGCAGACAAGTCAACACCATATACCAGCACAGAAGATTGTACTGCATTTTACCGTTCTCCTTCCGCCATTTCGGTAAGGGATGTGCACGAGCTCCTTTCTTAGTATCTTGATCTAAGTAATAGGGGGAACGGGTGGCCAAGTCGTCTAAGGCGCCGCGATTCGCACTGCAGCGTTGCGTCCCTTGGGCACGCCAGAAACCAATGATTGTGGGTTCGAATCCCGGTTCGCCCCGATTATGTTTCTAGGTTTGTCAGCACCATACCCGTGCTCGTCGGTTTCACCAAAGTGGTAAACGTCTGAGACCTGAGGCTTTCCTGACACGCCGCGATATAACTGGAAAACTGTTAAAAGCGGCGTTAAACCAAGCTCACTCACTCACACTAAGTAATATTTTCCCTACAGAACATTTCAATTTCACAAAATGATGCCTCAGCTTTAATGATTCTATTCATTAAGGAAATCACACAGTGTTAGCTAGGTTACAAAGTTATACAACAAGAATATACAACGTGAACGTCAGTAATTGAACCAGTATCGACCATCCGCCGAATTTCCTTAGTTATTCAAAGACACTTTTCTAACAACACCATGTACTCCTAACATCAATGGGTTGGCATTTGGTGTTCACGTTTGAAAACATCTGTCACAAAACACCAAGCAGTGCTTATGTCTGGTGTGTATATCTGTAGTCAGCGATATTTGATCGAGCTCAATTTCCGAAAACTGTGGTATTTCCTCCTGTTTACCAATTGATGGACGCCAAGACGGACATGCTTCCGGAAACCAAGTGGATCAACAGGATAATGTGACACTTATTTTTTTCCTGTTTGGCAATCTTGTTAATCCAATCCTTTTGCTTGCTTGCAGTAAATATAATGGGGAAGGATGGTAAACTCTACTTTGTTCCAATTACATCAACTTTTTTCAGATACTTACTGCGTTCGTTTCCTGACAACTAAGGAGTTATTTTACATGTTGAGACGTGTGTTGTTTTTTTTGTCAACGTTCAGTCTAGCTCGACTGAGTCAGAAATGCCTGCACACTCGCATCGACAGACAAGTAATGGTTCATGGTGTTATCCAATGTAAAACATACCTTGATTGGTTGGTTGGTTGGTTTGTCGTTTTACGCCGCACTCAGCAATGTTCCAGCTATATAACGGCGGTCTGTATATAATCGAGCCTGGACAATCCAGTGATTGACATCATGAACATCGACCCACGCAATTGGGATCGATGACATGCATCAACCAAGTCAGCGAGCCTGACCACCCGATCCCGTTAGTCGCCTTTTACGACAAGCATAGTCGCCTTTTGCGGCAAGCTTGGGTTGCTGAAGACCTATTCTACCCCGGATCTTCACGGGTCTTAACATACCTTGATAACTTGATATCGTAACATAGTTACATAATAGTAGTTTCATTAAGTTACAATTGAAAAAAGGGTTTACTATACTTCGCGAAAGATCTCTTTTGAAAGCGTTCATGCATGCTTTGTCGGATTCGTACAATGGACTCTGCATTTAGATTTTTGTGTTGCGTTAGGCACCAAACAAACACTTACTTTTTTAAGAATTGTGTTAGTGGCGCGTGCTACAGGTAGAGCAGGACATACTTACATGTTTCGCGGGCACCGGGTGTCATCACTTATTTTTAGTGATCAATTCTCATAGATTTCACCGACCGCCTCCGTGGTCTAGTTGTAGAGCGTCCGCCCGGAGGGCGGAAGGTCCGGGGTTCGATCCCCGGCCGCGTCATACCAAGATGGTACTTAGTATTGTCTGGTGCTCGGCATTAAGGGGCTAAAACAAGGACTGGTAGGCTCGGAGTCAGTAAACTGTGTCTGAGTGGAATATTCATGTTAAACTGCGGCATGGCATCTTAGTGTGCTAGCATTATAAATAGACATTAGTCCGGACTAGTACAAGCAGCCACACAAACACACATACGTACATGCACGTCGCTATATAAGTGCAATAATCTTGGACGCGATGTTAAACACCATTTCACCTCACCTCACCTCACCTAGTTTTCACCGCTGTTTTGCCTTTTGCACCCAAGAGAATATGTTGATCGTGTTGATTCTCTGGCGCTGACGTTTTGTATATTTTTATAACCCACATTCTTTTATTCAGATAAGTGCTTCCCATTGCTAATGACATCCCTGTATGGCTACATGCAGCTATATGCAGTTTTGATCTTTGATTTGCTCTTCAAAAACTTTCACTGTTCACGTGCAAATAAAGCGGGGGGAAACTTTCCATAATCATGGCATATCTGCCAACAGAATCCATGGGCGTATATGACGAAATAGTTATGAATATTATGAAAATGGATCACTGATAATCAGTGATGACACCTGGTGCTCGCTATAGAATAAGAACGTGATTTATGTGATTTCAGGAGTTGTGAAAAATCCATGTACATGTCATAGAAAGGGAAAGCATCATGTTGGCAAGCGCATTTTCGTATTTGGCACATTCCTCCGAATGTCTGCTATAAACTTTCTGTGATGATATAACCTTTGATGGTGAAGCATTGATTGGAAACTTAGTTTTAGTGTGATTCAGTTTCGATGTGTCTTTCCATGAACCTTGAATAAATCTTGTACATATTCTAAAGTACATTAGCAGCTGAGAAATAAAGACGCCATAAGCTGGAACCTAAGTTCTGTATTGTCGAAAGAGTCGATAGTGCAGAGTGGCGTCGAAGTTAAGTATTTATATTTAACTTGTTATCGATGTATTGATATTGAAATGTATAGCTCAGTTCGACAACACATCTCAAACTTAAAGGAAGCTTGTCATTCACCTACCAATTTTAGTCTTCTCAACACTGACAGTGGTGATTCCTCACTACTGTCTTTGACTGATGTCCAATAATATGAAAGAAGAGTTCCTAGCCGGACACCTTACCTATAATGCATGTACCTTCACACTGTTCCCTGATTCGCCACCAGAATATCGCACATAGAAGATAAGACACATTCAATATACAGAACGACAGCAAGGAGCTTTGAAATGAAATAGATCAAAGTCAGACCCTAATCAACCCTACATTCCAGCTGTAGTCAGGTCCTGACTTCCACACCAGTACGGTTGTTATATTTGTTGAGCTTGCGTTAAGATACATTTAGTTGATGACAAAAGGCCAACTCAACATGCAGCGAACCACGCTCACTCTGAATCGATGTCGCGAACACCTGGTGTCATCACTGATTTTCAGTGACCTATTCATATATTTTTCACCGCTATTTTGCCTCTTACGCCCAATGGAATCTGTTTCGGCGGATAATTGAAACTGGTTATCTTCTAGCGTTGACATTATAAAATTCAATACGATATATCTGTCGTTGTCACGGGAGAATACCTTTCTGAACTCGGTGGATAAATGTTACCACTGTTACTGCAATGAATTTCCATTTACATGGGAAGTGAATGGGTACCCGGTAGAATGAGATGGTAATGACTTGCGTTCTAGCGCCTGACAGACAAAGTGAATTGTATACTCCCCCGGGAAATGAGAATGTAAATGGATGGCACACAGATCCATTGACCGGGGAATAATTTTATGTGCGACCTGAACATGATATCCAGCATGGGAAAGCATCATACAGATGGGCTATAATTATCATCATCATAACATATCAAATATTTTTAAGATGGACCTTAGATAAAGCGACAAAACCCTTTCGATATCATAAATATAAATTGCCAATGCAAGATATTAACCAATCTCTATTATCCACCGAAAAAGATTCCATTTGGCGTAAAAGGCAACATGGCTGTGAAAAGTATATCAATGGACAACTGAAAATCAAGTATGACCCCGGGGGTTCGATGAATCAGAAAAGCCAGCAACATGATAGTGCATTTGAAAACGATATGTACAGTTTTAATTACGTCTCCTGTGTACAAGTGCAGAGATGCTTGTCACTGAAAAACGTTAATGAAATGTATTCGTATTGCAACACAGTAGGGGCACTTTCAATGTCTAGTCCGTCTTTGTAGTTGACGCAGCATAGATAAATGCTCCCAGAGACCATATATCGGTATACAGTCTCTGGTACTAATGACCTTATGGTGAAACTCTGGTACTTCAGTTCACCAGCAGAAACATCAACCCAAACATCTGCCAAAAGCAGAGTCGATCGTACGATTCCGACTGCATCATGATCAAGTCTCTCTCTGTCTAAGTTGGGGTTAACGCCGCTGTTAACAGTATTCCAGTCATATCAAGGCGTTCATGATCAAGTGTCTATCCATCACTATCAAATAGTGATGATTACCAGGTGTTCGCGAACAGGTGAACGGATGCTGCCCCAAGGTGGCACCAGTAACAAACACATGCAAAGGCAAGTCAATTGTACACCTGAAAAACATGGGAACATATGTTACAGGTCAAAACAGGGAATTGCATCGGACATCATTTTGTCACTGATGCGTCAAATTTGGAAAGGTCCTCAAATGTCTACCACAAATGTTTTTGGAAGATTTACTGAGGCCTTGAATCTTGTAATCTTGAGCAAACAACTTCCGAAGAAGAGTCGTATGATGCACTGAATCTATAATTTTCGACAAGCCCACACCATATACAAGCACAGAAGTGTGAAAGTCCCCACGACTTGCAGACAAGTCCACACCATATACCAGCACAGAAGATTGTACTGCATTTTACCGTTCTCCTTCTGCCATTTTGGTAAGGGATGTGCACGAGCTCCTTTCTTAGTATCGTGATCTAAGTAATAGGGGGCACGGGTGTCCCAGTCGTCTAAGGCGCCGCGATTCGCTGTGCAGAGTTGCGTCCCTTGGGCACTCAAGAAACCAATGATTTTGGGTTCGAATCCCGGTTCGCCCCGATTGTGTTTCTAGGTTTGTCAGCACCATACCCGTGCTCGTGGGTTTCACCGAAGTGGTAGACGTCTGAGACCTGCATCACTTCGGGCTTTCCTCCCACATTAAGCTAACACGCCGCGATATTACTGGAAAACTTTTAAAAGCGGCGTTAAAACTCACTCACTCACTCACTCACACTATCTAAGTAATATTTTCCCTTGATCAAACAACTTCCGAAGAAGA